CAAGGCCCGCGAAGGAGGGCAGTACGCTGCCATGGAGCAGGCGAGAGGCCACAGTCCAGTAGGCCGAGGCGAGAGCCTTGAGGGACCGGCGACCTTGCGGCCAAATTCCCGACGTAGTCCGTCGAGCGACGCCATGTCGAGGTCACAGGCCAGGAGTCCGGTCTCAGTATCCAGTGATGGCTCCCCGAAGGACGTGAGATCAGAACCAAGACCTAGCCCGGCACCGTCAACGGCGACAACGTCTTCTTCAGGTCAGACGGGTCAAGTCTGCAGGTAAGAGGGCGACGGGCTTCTTTCCAACCCCCTGTGGACCGCTTGCTGACCAGCTACAGTAATTGTGGTACAACACGAACACCGTTATGGAGGAGATCTCCCCAAGGAACGACGATATGCAACGCTTGCGGCCTGTATCAGAAGGCGAGAAACGCATCACGCCCAACTAACCTCAAGAAACCCCCGCATCTTGTTGCAGCGGCACCTAGGACGGCTCCCCCAAAGATTGCGCCAGCACCAGGTCCAGGTCCAAAATATCTCAGTGCTCCCGCTCCCACGTATGTGACGGAGGAACAGGCGCCATCAGGCACCTGTCCAGGGGGTGGAAAGTGCAACGGTACCGGTGGTGCGGAAGGCTGCAGTGGTTGTCCTGCGTACAACAACCGAGTATCGAAATCCGCCCATCTGAACGTTCAGGGGCAAGGTGGTTGCGGTGGTGGTGGTGGCGGCGGCGGTTCGTCTAGCCAATCTCAGGGCGAACCCATGGCCGTCGACGACCCCGTCGCTCCTGTCGATATCGCCGCTCTGCAAATACAGCAAGCACAAAACCCAAATCATACCGTTGTGATCGCCTGCCAAAATTGCGGCACTACCATCACCCCGCTATGGAGACGAGACGAAAGTGGCCACACGATCTGCAATGCTTGCGGTACGTGCCGTCTTTTTTCTGGGGAAATCTTTAACATGCTGACATAAACAGGTCTTTACTACAAACTTCACGGAGTTCACCGGCCTGTGACTATGAAGAAGTCGATCATCAAGAGACGGAAACGAGTGATACCATCTTCGTTTGGCGGCGAGTGGACGGAAGAGATGCTTGAGGGTTCAGAGACGCAGAGCGTAGCACCAGAGGGAAGTCCGGAAAGGGGCACGATGAACGAGGACGGATCCATCAATTTGGGCTTTCGACGTCGGGGAGAGAATCCTGCCACCATGCTTCCAGATCCACTTATGCGTCCGAATCGACAAGGCTCGCCGCTGCCTTCGCATGACTTGGCTGCGTATCAATCTTCGGGTTCCCGAACTTCAAACCCCTATCCGGGATCGCTGAACGACGATAACCGCCTTGCTCCGATCACATCGCTCGCCGCCATGGGGGAACGCCAACCCTCTCTGTCACCTGGTTCTTTCTTGTCTCCATCGAGGAAACGATCACTTTCTGCGGAAGGAAATCCGTCTAGCGATGGCGGACCAGACACGTCCAAGCGATTATCGTCCATCAAGTCAATCCTCAACCCGACAACGGCAGATGACAGCCCGGCCTACCACTCGGGTAGCGATGACGCCGCGGAACATTACGCCCGATCTGCTATGTCGCCGGCCGCCTCCGCACCGAGTCCAGGTTCCTATTCGAATGCTCACATGACGCCTCTTCCATCACCTGGACCGAGCAGTCAGACGAGCAATCCGGGATTCAGGCCAGAAAACGAAAGAGTCAAGGCAGAGAAGAGGGCAGCATTGATTCGGGAAGCTGAACGGATGAGGGAGATGTTGGCCGCGAAGGAGAAGGAGCTAGCGGACATGGGAAACTAATGAAAGTTCCATCACGATACAAACGAACCACGGGATCATCGGACAACTGATTTTTTTGGGACAATATGGGCACACACACACACACACACACACACACACACACACATCATGGCTTGGAGTTCCTTTTTGTGCGAAGCGGTCGGCTGGGGCCGTCTATTCCATCACCAAACAGGTTGAAGCTATCCTTCTTCCATTTACGGTTTCACCAGGGGCGAACGAGAAAAACAAAAACGGACGGGGTCTGGCCTTACACAAAATGGGAGAGGATGATTGTTTTTGGGACGCATTTTGGCGGCCACTCAACAAAAAATGGCATCTTTCTTTACAGGGTGTTTTTCTCCGACTCACGAAGAGGGCGTTTTCTTCTGTTTACAACAAACCGAATGGAATTACAAAATGGAATTTGCGCGCGGAAAGGGAGTGAGATGGGAGGTTTTCCCAAGGGCGGACTAGGAGTTTTTTCTTTTCTTTGTCGTTCAGGGTGGATGGGATTTCGAACGGTGTTTACTGACAGATTACCCGACCATTTGTAAAGTGGGTATCGGGCGAGTGAAATCGGAGAGGTGAGAGGCATTCGGGAAGAACCAAGCAAGATATTTTCGTGTTCTATGGACGGTATGAAGAGGGTCAAAAACTGGCATGGCACAAGGCGTCTTTGGATGCTGTAGGGTGTATGTAGTAGCCCTTCTTTCCCAATCGGAAGTCTGCGCGTCGAAATATCAAAAGCTGAAGCAATGGACTTTGCTCGCATGGCTTAGTTATCTACCTAAAGCACAATGGGACTGGCCCCCCCCTTTCACCAGAAGTCTACCTTTCGGTCACCGTGGACTGTAAGTGACCAACGTTTCGCTCAAACCTTGAACCACCGACAAGGCAATGGTGTGGCACCCGCAGTCACATCACAAAGGCTGGAATCGTCGCGGACATCATGCAAGTATGAGGTAGTATGAGCAAGGCTTCTGGAGGGCAAATCAGGTCTGTTACGACTAGCCATTGCGGATCCCAAACAATACCCTACTTTTCCAGGCCTCCCTTTCTCCTTTACACCATCTAAGTAAAAAGTCATACAAAGTGCCACTAGACCTGGCACAGTCTTCCGTCGTACAAGTCGAAATGCAATGAAGCATATGCTCTTTCCCTACACAACACACACACACACACACAAACACACACACAACCTTCGTGCCTTACAGTGGTGAATACACACAATATACAGCCTGCTCGGTGGGGCCAAACATCATAAGGGAGCTTCGCGTCGAAATTTCCCACGCTGTCGTTCCTATCTGGTCGCTTCTCTTCTCGTTCTTTTTGTTCCCCATTGTCATGGATGAAGCTGAGGAATTGGTTGTCGTGATCGTTTTACGCGATGTCGAGTTCCCCGTCTCTTTTCAGTATCTTAAGTTTCGGAAGAAAAAAAGCCTCAGCAAATCCGGTTCATTGTCTTGTTTCGCGAATTGTAAAATAGGGGAAAAGAATCCGTGCCTTTACCTCTCTTCCAACGGTTTCAATGTTGGTAGAGTGCAAAAGGCATCCGAGATGAAATTTGGCTTCTTTGTGTGGTTGAAAAGGGGCTGCTAGCTTACACCTGCTCTGCACCCCAGCCGCCGTCGGCCTCGCGCATGTTGGCTGGCGGCTCGATCTGGGGAACAAACTCGAGGACGACGTAGGCGACGCCAATAAGGCCGACAATAGAGCCGGCAATGATCTTGAAGACACCGTCGGAGAGAAGGATGGAGCCGATGAAAATGTAGACTGCGAGGAAGGAGCCGCATTAGAACCAGTGTGCATCGACTACGAGAATATTCGGAGGGGGGCTTTGAAACTTACAGACACCGCGGCCAACGAAAGAGAAGAGGAATGAAGCGTAACGGGAGACTTGGGGAGGGATTTGGAACTCTGGTACTTTGTTAGAGGAGCTTCAGAGATTGAGGATTCATTATCAAATACCGAGCAGAGCAGTGCCTAATCAAATCGCATTAGCCATGTCACTACCAAGAATGCATCCTATGCAAGCTTCAGGAGGGGGTGAATGCTTACAGAGACCGAAGATGATCACGTAGGCGCCAACAATGATACCCTGGCTACACAGGCAGAGTTGTCAGTATAGAGTCATCAAATCGCTATGCCACCACATGTCTCCTTCGTCACGATGAAGGGGTTTGGCTGTCGCACGAGGAATCCGTGCGCGCGCGCAAGTAGAGGTCGTAGACACGGGAGGTCCGTCGGGGGGGTCGGATAAGACGTACAAGTTGAAGTTGAAGAATTGGGCAATGCCGCCCAGGACCATGATGGTCGCGGTGGCCAAGTTGACGATGCGGCTGATGCGAGTGACGCCTGGTTAGCTTTTTGCGCATGCGCAGGATAGCTACTGGGTAGCTACCGCATCGCAAAGACTAGGGACCACATACAAGGCGTCAGAAAGCTCCATTTTGGCGAGTTGTAGATTGCGTTACTGTCGGGGATAGACGGAGATTCGGTGGCGGAGGGCAAGCGAGGTGGATGAGAGAAGAAGAAGAAGAAGAAGGGAAGCTGGCGTGGATGAATTGGCCAGGCAGCTAGATATCGCGGGTTTGGAAGAAGGATGTGTTGTGATGTGGGTGTGGGTGTGAAGAAGAAGCAAGGTGGGTGCAAGGTGTGACGTCCGGACAAGAGGCTGACGAGTCAAGTTCCGTAACTCTTTGGCTCCTGAAGCTCCTAGCAGATAGAAGGAGTGTGCTGGTGGATACTTGATGGAGCAAGTATATCTACCAGGCACTGGTACACGTAGCAAGCGCATATCATAGGTACCATGAAGTCGCAGCGGTTGAGCACCAGCCACACAAACCCCCAGCCTCTTTTCTGAGGGAGGTCACTGACTTGGCAGGAACGAGCCAAAGCTCTGTTGACCGCCTTCCTGCTTCGGACTGCATGGGTGTATGGACATCTGCTACGCGGATTGGTTGATTGCCGACTGATCAAAGTGAAAGTGCAGTCAATTAGAGAGCTCTCACGCCATCATGTTGTGAACAGCTTCATCCATGATCTAACTTAACGACATTTGCGACGTCATTTTGCTGTTCGCGCTTATCTCATGGCACTCTAAAATGTGATTGGAGTTCGTCGCCACCTTTCACATTCGTATTTTGTACTACGAAAACCCATATTTGATGGTCTAGTCATGCTGGTCTTTCGAGCTTCAGTGCCTAGGCAAAGCCATGTCGGCCGGTTACCAGGGCGGTCTTGTTTCGCTGGGATTGTGAGCTTCCGAAGGTCAATACACACACCTCCGGTGCAATCGAAGCATCGGTCTCCTATCAAGGATATCAGAAATATTGGGATCATTGCCCATGTCGATGCTGTGCGTATTCAGTCGCTTTTTGAGCTTGAGTGATAGAATGGCTGATTTATTCTCAGGGCAAAACCACAACGACTGAGCGCATGCTGTATTATAGCGGCGTGACTCGCCGAGTTGGAGGTATGCAGGAGCCATTTTACCTTGCAATCGTTTTCATATCAACATTTTGTCTCGCGGAGTTGGATGAGAGCCGTAGCCGCGGCAAGTATGTACCAAGACCCTCTTGGCTGACCACGACACTGTAGACGTCGATGCAGGAAACACAGTGACTGACTTCCTCGACCTGGAGCGGGAACGAGGTATCACAATTCAGTCAGCAGCCATCACTTTTAACTGGCCCCTTCACGAGGAATGCGCCCCAGGCACAACCCCCAAAACGATCAATCTTATCGACACACCGGGTCATCAAGACTTCAGATTTGAGGTTGACAGGTGTCTGCCTGTTCTTGACGGTGCTGTATGTATCATCGACTCAGTGAAAGGCGTAGAAGCTCATACGGAGAGAGTGTGGGCTTCAGCACACGATCACAAGATCCCTCGCATTGTCTTCGTCAATAAGCTCGACCGAGACGGTGCTTCATTTCGAAAATCTGTGTTGGAGATTGGGTCACGTCTGAACGGGTGGCCACTTGTATGCCAAATTCCATGGTGGGAAGGAGACCAGTTTGTCGGTGTCATCGACGTCATTGACCGAGTCGGATATCGGTGGAAGGCAGAGAAGCAGAAGACGAAGTACGAGTTCGCGGAACTGCAAGAGGTGCTCAAGGGCAACTATCTTCTCGATGAAATTGAGACAGCTCGCGAGCGGCTCATTGAAGGCCTCGCTGAATGTGATGAGTCCATTATGGACCTGTTCGCAGACGATCCAAACAAAATCACAGGCAAGATGTTGAAAAACAGCGTTCGAAGCGCCATCCGCAGTGGCGACGGAAACGTTATTCCCGTTCTAGCAGGTGCCAGCTTCCGGCACATCGGTGTCGAGCCCCTGATGGACGCCATCGTTGACTACCTTCCCAGTCCTGACGAACGACCTGATCTTGAGATCCGTGCCGGCCCGGCAAAGCACAACCTCATTACGCTACTCGGTCAGAACTCGAGCAAGAAGCCAGGCCAGCAGCGTGTAGCAGCAGTCGCCTCCGTCTTCAAGGTCTATAATCACCCCAAAGAGGGAATCTTGAGCTTCGTGCGAGTCTACTTTGGCGAACTTCACAAGAACTCGTCCACCTGGAACACGCATAATCAGCAGGCAGAGCGTCCGTTCGGCTTGTTGCAGATATCCGCGGAGAAGACAGAAGATGTGCAACACCTTGCCACTGGCCAGATTGGCGCCATCAAGGGTCTAAAGAAGGCTCGTACGGGCGACACGCTGCTTGCTACTATCGCTCAGAAGCAGATCCCGGATGCCCTCAAGCATATCCAGATCAGGCCCCCAGAAATTCCTCCGCCAGTGGCTTTCCTCGCGATTGACCCCCACGGGCCCACAGCTTCCAAGGAGCTAGAGATCGCGCTCGAAAATGCGTCACGAGAAGATCCCAGCTTGAGATGGAGCCGTGACGAGAAGACAGAACAATTCATCCTGCAGGGTATGGGCAAACTCCACCTTGATATCGCCGTCTACAACCTCAAGCAGAACCCTAAGGTTCAGGCCGACTTCGGTCCTATCGAGGTCGATTACAAAGAGTGCATCACGTCCTCAATCGGACCACATCATGTCACCTTTGACAGGGTCGTCGCGAGTAAGTCGGGCAAGGTATCATGTACAGCAACTCTGGAACCTCTGGAAGACCACCACCGCCAAGCCGCACTTGAGCCGACTGTCGAACGCGACGGGAACATGATTCACATCATCATCGATCTCCCCGAAGACGGCAACATAGCCTTTGATCCCGAGGAAGCCCGACAGCAACTCATCAATGGCGCCGTCGCAGCCGTGGCCCGCGGCCCGCGCCGCGGCTCCCCCGTCCAAGGTTGCCACATCACCATCACCGTTGACGCCGCAGCCGCCGAGAGCCCGTCCGGTGGACACTTCGCCGGCGCAGCATCTCGAGCCGTGCGCGAAGCACTCCGCGAGGCGCACATCACAAAGGGTGCCGTGGGCGTCCTCGAGCCCGTCATGCTTCTACACATCAGCTGTCCCGAGGCGGCCGCGGGCTTGGTGCAGCATGACATCAGCTCAGGAGCCGGTGGACACGTACTGGAGGTCAATGATAAGTCCGCCGAGTCGAGTTCGCACATCGACGTCAGCAGTATCTACGCGCCGCCAGATCCGTACGAGATCGTGGCTTCATTGAGGGGGAAAAAGTCGTTGGCCAGGACGGTGGAAATTGTAGCCAAGGTGCCGTTCAAGGAGGTCTTGAACTTTGACGAGCAGCTGAGAGGCAAGACTGGCGGAAGACACTCGATGACGATGGCGTTTGACAGTTTCGATCGTGTTGTTGGCCAACGAGAGAAGGCATTGTAAAGATAGAAAGTGTATTTGTACTTTGTAAAGTAGAAAGTTTAAGAGGTTACAGGAACTCAGATACCTTCCCCATTTTCCCGAACGTACTGCGCAAATCGTCAGGAATAGCATTCGCATGTACAATACTCATGAATAGCCGGTTAGTGAAATTGCAAGTATTGAATACACGTAGCTCTGATGTTGCTGAACAGGTGCGATAATATCATGACTAAGCAGCGCATAAGTCTTCAGCAGCAGGGGACGCAACCCGACGTTGTTTTTCGAGCCAAAACAAAAGGAAACAGAGAATCTCGCTCAAAAGAAACAAATTGCCATGAATTACAAAAGATTTGATAGCACAACCTGGTTTCGATCCAGGGACCTCTGGGTTATGAGCCCAGCGCTCTACCCCTGAGCTATTGTGCTCAGGCTTGTTGATGAAAATTTTGATGGTCTTGTAACCCATATCCCGCTCGGTTGTGGAGCTGTGACTCACACATCCTCAACCAATAGTTCAACACGTCTCTTCAACCACTCGTGTTCTTCATCTGCTCTATTTTATCTCTACTCATAAAAAGCGACTGGTCATTTGTCATGGACTAGCTAGTTCTACTCAACAATCCCTCAAATTCATACCTGGGATGGCTCGTTGACCTTGCTACTTGAATCAGGTCCAACTGTAGGGATATGGGGGTAGATATCCTCGAAAGACTGCACGTCATAGGCTCAGCACCCGCGATCCTCGTCGCATCAACCCGATTCCCATGTACAGCGGAACGAAAACCTTGAATCCACAGTCAGATCGTGGCTGAATAATACGACTAGGTTCTTAAGTAGCACTCACGGAAGGGCAGAATGACCTTGGCAGCAACCGTTTGGAAATCGCGCGTCTTGGATTATCTGCGTCAAACATATGAGATCACCGTTGCTAGACAGTTTCTGGAACCTCCCTTGCGGCTTTTGAACTTACTAGGTCGTTTCTGCCAAGCTCCATGTTATCTACCATGGTGATAACCACAGACTGCTGTCTTCTGGAAGAAGTAGCTGCGAGATACGGATTTGAAGCCGCAAAGAATGCAATCCCCATGCTTAGAATCTGGTCCCAGACCCGAGCAGCGAGGCGAGCCTGTCTTCACGCGGCACATACCTTTAGGGCCATATCTCGGTGACAAAACCGAGTCAGTGTATCATTCTCCGCTCCCAAGCATTTGTTCAGTGCTGCCCTCGTCCTGGCGTTGTATCTCCCTGCCTCACCTCCTGACAAGAATGACAACAGCGGCTGCGCGAAGGGGAGTTTGAGTTACTTGGCGACGTTTACTGGAAGTGCCTTAGCGCTGAGGGCCTTTCTGATGACTTTGATGTGACATCGAACAGCGAGACGCGCAGCGCAGCTGCGGACTTTATCCGGCTCGGTGGTCTTGTCTCCATGCGCAACGAAATGTGCTTGGGCGGGCTTCGTTCCGCGCAACGGGTTCTACTGGACTTTGTAAGTCTATTGGACAACATGAAGAATTAGCGGATAGCAGGCTAGTCACGTCTGCTTTGTATGCTCTGCGAGAGCCCTGGAGACCACTGTTGGTTGATGAGTAAGGTGTAGGAGGGATAGTCCAATGACACAACAGAAGCCTTCTCTCAAACACATATCTCAGACATGACAATTCAGACTGAACTTTCCGCATCGTCCCTAACTAGAGACACTGCGCCCAAGTTTGGTTTCTTTTGAGAAACGCAAGGCCTCGCTTACGGATACCTGATAGAGAGTGACACCGTCTCAGCACTGGGCTGTAAGTCTATATTTTTTCACCAAAGTCTCCTCAATGATACTCAAGACATCATCCGTCGCGCGTCGCCATAGCCACCATTGATGCAGGAGAGATCAGTTCAGACCTGCCACCGGGTAAGATCTCTGCCACGGATATTCGCCGTCTTCGGGTGAGGGCTGCGGCAAAACTCCGAATCCGTCTCCAGGCCAGTCGAGCCATCTTATCATCACCGTACAATAGAGGTATAATAAATAATACGAAGCTTGTCGATTCTAAGGTAAGTAAGTGCACTTTCAAGAAGTTTTTTATCAAGATCCTTATTCCCAGTATTTACTAATGATTTGATGCCACTTCTTTGTCATTGAGCCAAGCAAGAGCCCAACCCCAGTGGCTTCAGGAAACTACACGATGGACCTGGCGAGGTTCGCAGCTAGCCTCAACTCTAAAGCGCTGCCAAGGAGCCTATACGGCACTCTTCCTATTATCGGGGTCGACATCATCACAGCTGTGCTGACCGGCATGGTTAAACCTGTCTATAAGTCTTCGACGGAGGCACTAACAACCATCCACGGCAACAGCGGACCCCAGTCAGTCGCAGCCATAGACGGCTTAGAGACCACAATCTTTGGCGCGATGTATCTCAACGGTACTGCAGCCGGTGCATTACAAATCGAGCACGTCGTGCTGAACGCGCATCCGTCCTCCTCTGTCCTCCCCGCTCTGCTAGTCTACGCCTCCACTCGAAACACAAACACCAGTGGCGAGGACTTCCTCACTGCTCTCGCCGCAGGCTACGAAGGCTGCGCGCGAATCGGCCTCGCATCATGCTCCTCAGTAGAAGACGAACGTGGTTTCAAGAACCCGGCCATCAACGGACAGCTCGCCATGGCGGCGGCGGTCGGTAACCTCCTCAGCTGGGACGCCGCGACCATCGCGTCCGCTATGGGGCTCGCGGCATCAAGTTCAGGCGGTCTCGTGGCTTTCCAGACGACGGACGCCCAGACGAAGTAGATTCACCCGGGCCACGGCGGGCCATTAGGCATCGAAGCTGCGCTCATGGCTCGCGCGGGTGTCACGTGCCCGCCAAATATCTTGGAGAACGAGATGGGGTTCCTGCATGCCTGTTCGCCGGAACCGACCTATACGCAAACTCTGGCTTCCTTGAGGCCCTGGTGGACAAGTACAACCGTACTACCAAAGCTCTAAGTATTGAGGACGATGCCCAGTCTCTGCGCTCCTTAGTTGAGAATATGTGGAAGGAAACAAACATGTCCCACGTGTATGACGGAGTTGTAAAGGTCGGAAAAGAGGCCCGTTTGGAATAGAATAGATTAGTATTTGTAAAGCTCGCTTGATATCATAGGCCGGGACTTACACGCTCAAAGGTGTGGAGGCAAATCACTAATATCAACCTTGTGAGGTTGCAACTTGCAGGAGACATGACGAGTTGAATGCACCCATCTTCAAGTTATATGCTCCGATAGTTTACACAGCCGAGATACAATATGACTTATACTGACTGCGACATGACAGCATACACAAATTGGGAATATCTCGACCACTCGGAGTAACAGTCAAAAAGAAGAGACGCATGTGACATCAGGCTTTCATCAGGTGCCACCGATCTGATTATTACTCTAGCTATTCGAGGCAATTACTTCTCCTGCATTACTGAAAAATCGAGCCATTTCGCGAAATTGGAACTTCTGAAATAAGATAGGCTTTGTCACTCAAAAGGAGCGTCTTTGGACATGAACGCATAATCCCAGCGCCATCGCTTTACTTCGTCTGCTTGAGCGCTTTGGCTATGTGCTAATCATATGATGATTGACAGTATGGACTCATCGCAGCGGTGGTTATGTTTGGGGTAAGCATAGCAAGTCCTTCCACCATTGTTCACATGCTGACCTTGTTTTCCACAGGCCATGGAACTCTTTTCCAGTCTCAGAGAAGACGCACAAGCTGCGAAACTCAAGGCAATCATTGACAAGACTTCGACTGCTCGGCTCTACGTCCAAGTCGAAGAAAAGACCGCAGTGGCGTATTCGTCTCTAAATGTACGGCTCGATAAAACGTTTTCCCCTGTGAGACAGATGACTAGGACTGACACAAGAATAGGCCGAGATTGAGAGCATTGCGGAAGCATACGTTGACAGGGAGGCCAAACCGCAAAAGTTCCAGAAAGCACTCGATCGATTCACGAAGTCGGCCGGCAATTTGCTACCGAACGTAGATGAGGTCTACGCCCAGCTCTTCGTGGGTGATGCGCAGGGAGGGTCATGGGTTGGGGATGACCCATCTCTGGAGCAAATGAAGAGTATGCATGATGATGAGATCAAAGTCCGTAATAGCTAGTTTCGGATATCAAAGTGAGCATAAATGTATTCGATCAAACATAGCATTTCAGTACTCGGTATGAAGCTTAGCATATATGTACGGAGTAGCCGTGACAGAAACTCCAGCAAGAAAGGCTGCATGATTTGAAGAAGTCCCCTGCTCGACTTAGTTTCTCTCTTGTGTGCCAAAGAAAGGTTGTATTCGCTCAGTTATGCAGAAATCGCATCACGGAGAGAGGCCTTTCCCCAGAGCACCCTACCTGAACTACATAACTAATCTTTACCAAAAACAAAATAATGAAATACATGCAACACCAGGCATTCGCCAGTCGTCACCGACCTGACTACTACTCTGGCCCTCACTGGCTTGTCTATGGGAGAGCGGACGGGATCCCGAATTCTCCAGTGGGTATGGTCGCATGTGGTAATCTCAGGGTTGGGGACGGCTCATGTCTGCATGAACGACTTAGGCGTCCTCAGTTGGGGTCGAAGGTGAGTAACACCTAGGCCAATACAACTCTCTCTTCGGTGTAGGATTCCATGTCTCGGTCGTACCGGCAAGCTGGTGACCTTACCTTGCTGACCGACACAGTTATGGAAGTCGATATCCCGAAGGAATTGTGAACCCCTCCCGCTAGGCTCGGAAACCGCTGGCCCCGGACCCAGCCCAGAGGGAATGGATAAGCTCCAGCTCTTCTCAAGCCAGAGGAGCCAAGAGGTACGTGGGTGTCTCTTTACCAGATCACAATGGAGACTCTGTGGGTAGGGCGTCAGATTCTTGTCGGTGAAGGACCGATCCACCGGTCTAGCGTCGTCGTCATCTCGGTATCGACCGAGCCGACACCACAGGGTTTTGCTGAGGGAGCACTGAAGAACATCCCTCTAATTCAACTCCTAAGTCTGACTGTATTCAGATTCCCGGCTGTTTTCCCTGGGTCCGATAAGCACTATGCTTATGAAGCTTGGCCATGGTAGTTTGTGTAATCTACTAGCTGCTGTCAATAACCCAAATATCCGAACAAGGACCCAAATACTTAGCATTCACAGCAGGGTCGAGTTCACATCTCGTAGACAGCTGCTATGGAGTCTTGACTCTGGGTGTTGGCCAAGGTGCCCATACCGCAGGTGAAAGCTGCCAACAATCAGAGCTCATGAAAATAACAATATCCGCCGGCGCCGTGCGAAAGGAGACAACAACATATGAACAGCAATCCTGTCCAACATCACAGGCGCCTGTCCAAGCCCACGTGGTCGCATCCCACCTGACCCGGAGCGACACTGATCCGCGAGGCGTAGATCAGGGAAACAAGACCGACCGGCCGGGTTACGACCCTGCTGGACATTCCTTCGATGCAAGGGTATGTGAGGAAACGAAATGGCATTCGTTTCGTGTCAAGCAAATTTTCTTGGGATGAATAAACAGAACAACATGTGCATCCTGTTTGTCTTCTTCCCACGTTATTTTTAGGTTGGGACGACACAACAAGCGCCGGAGGGAGAGGGAGGTCGGTTTGGCGGGTGCACGTCGCACAGCCGACATGTGGGGCCCGGGTAGCGGTCTCCGAGAAGCGCAGCAGCGAATGAAAAGGCATCTTCAGTGGCACTACTCAGGGCTGAGCCTATGCGTGATTGGATCAGAGACCCGCAGCCGCAGGAAACATTTCTCCCGACGCCCCCAAAAACAAACGCCGACCGGGATTACACAATTCGACATTCCCCATCCTCCATCCTGCTTCTCCAACCTCGTGGCCGATGTACATACCTAGTGCAACGACCCAACTCCGCGCTAGTGCTGACAAGTTGACAACGAAAGGAAAAGAATTCCAAGCCCTGTCAATTCTTACCGGACTACACTGCTCCCGAGGAGGAACTTTGTGAGCCATGGCACGTGGGAGCCGTGTCTGTCCGTTTTGGTCTGGGTCTTGTCATCTTGAAAGGCTACCTTAGCTGGGCTAGCGAGTGAGTTGGTTTTTTTTTTTTGCTGCGGACAGGATGTGAGTTGAGCCGAACGTTGGTCGAGTGCTAAGCCTAGCCATCTTCCAAGACCATGCGGGATGGCTTTTGGTCCACGATGGATGAGACCTGGAGGTTGGATGCCATCCCAAATTAGACTATGCACACCAAACTTGAATTGTTCACGTTCATCCCATCCAATAGATGGGATGCCAGTATATAACTAGACATCAAATCCCGCTCTGATGATGGCTTCTTCTCTTGCATCTCATCACACAGTGAACGCATAATAACATCATCTCATCTTTCCTTGAGTCTCCTCTACTTTGTCTCCTTTCCCACTTTGACTAGCATTCTTTCGGCATCGTCGTCTTTAGCAAGCGTCCAAAGCAACAAGAACACATTCAAAATGTACTTCACAACCAGCTCCGTCGCCCTCACCCTGGCCCTCGCCTCCTCGGCCCTCGCAGCCCCCTACAGCAGCCAGACAACCTCCGCTCCCGCTCCCACTTCCACTCTATCCCTCACCCAGCAGCTCTTCCTCGCCGACACGTAAGTCCCTTACCCTCATTCTCAACCCTCCCCCCCCCTCTCCCCAACATACTAACAACTTGAAACAGCGCCGCAGACCGCTTCAAGCTCCTCCCCGACGACAAGCAATTCATCTTCGACTTCAACCAACCCCAACAAAACCCCGGCAAAGGAGGCGAACTCGTCGCCGCCAACCGCAAGACCTTCCCCGCCCTAGTCGGCACCGGCGCGGGCATGGCCGTAGGCCGCGTCGGCCCCTGCGGCATGAACACCCTGCACGTCCACCCCCGCTCCTCCGAGCTCCAGATCGTCGTCAAAGGCCGCCTCATCACCGAAATGACGCCCGAGAACGGTGTCGTTCTCGCCGCCGATGGAAAGACCCGCCGCGCCATCCGCACCGAGCTGGGCCCCTTCCAGATGACCCCCTTTTACCAGGGCTCTCTGCACACGCAGTTCAACCCGGACTGCGGCGACGCCGTGTTTGTGGCGAGCTTCGCTTCTGAGGATTTCGGCACCGGACAGGTTGCGGATAGCACCTTTGCCTTGACGGACGATGTTATCGCTGCTACGTTTGGGCAGAGCATCGCTGGTGCGGATATCGATCGCGTGCGCAAGGCTATTCCTGCTAGCATTGCGCTTGGGGTTGACGAGTGCTTGAAGAAGTGCAACATCCAGAAGCGTGCTTTGTAAGCTGGTAGGAGAAGCACTTGGGGGATAGTAATGGTGTTGGCGAGTGAGCGTTGTTGATTGCTGTAGAGAGCGTGGCATCTTGCGTCTGGCAAGCGAGCATTTGGTTTGGTATTCGGATTATTGCATTGACCCTGGGCGTTTTGCTTTGGAATTCTTTCTCATTCTGTTTGCCCCCCCTTCATCCCCTTAGCTAGCATTTGCGGTTTTGTTTTCGTTCGTTGTATCTAGATTTGGTGAGCAACTCATAAGAAATACGTAGCATCGAGGAAAAAATGAAATACCCTGTATATACGCGGTTGACTAGTTGCAACTCTTCTCAAGACAATGCCTTAAGATAGCTAACTAATATCGATTTATGCATATACTGAGATATTATTATCTACGTCGTACTTTATGACACCGTGCAAGCTCGCTGCCGTTATGCTCTAGCAAGCATTGTAGTCAGAGCGGCTTGCTGCGCCTGCGTCGCCTCGAGAGGGTACTCTGTTACCGGCAACTGTAGGATGGCGAATGCTAGGGCGGACACATAGGAACGATGACGCGAAAATCGGATCGAGGCATTAACACATCAATGAGCATGAACGTTCGTTGATTGGTTGGACCGGACCGTATAGCAAGTGACAGGCCCAATAACCCCTGATCAAGGTCTGAACTACCCTAGAACAAACATCAACGGACGCTTGAAAAGCCATCATGTCTTGTCCACATACCACTCTACATCACCTCCCGTTGCTCTCGGGCAATGCTCATACACGCGGTCTCCAAGCACGTTCTCACATAATACAGTTCCCCTCATGGAATAAGATTTTCCGGTCCTAGATACCCCGCTTCCCCTCCATGTCATGACCGATATTCCATTTCACATAAAAGCTTCCTCCACATGTTCCTCGAATAATATAATATAAGATCAAAATAATACGTGCGTAAATGGGTATAGATGAGAAGCAAGCCGATCCGAAAATATGTAAATGCTCCTCGTCAGAGGAGCCGAGTAGAAGATACCCGAAAGAAAGCTTTGCCTGCTCGTGTGGTCAACACGAGGATGCTAAGATAATAAACACTAGACTGTCGCGATAGTATCGCAGGGATTCGATGTATACGTCCAGATAAGTTATTATGGATGAAAGTGCCATGTGTTACCGGCGTGTATGCAAAATTTGCCGCATGATCGTAAGCGGCGGGTCGAAACGAAGAAGTGCCAGCAGCGCAAAAGGTACATGGCAAGCGAGCTTGCCCAAGGGGTGTGAAGGGTACATCCGATCGAGTGGGCTGGTTCCGAGACAATCGAGGTCGGCTGGTGGCAGCAAAAGGACGGCGCTGCGTCGTGTTGACAAGCATGGACGTGGAAGCGAAGAACGGGCTGCTGCTGCTGGCTATGGCGAAAGAAAGAATACGACTATCAACTGAGCACACTCAGTAGAGGAATGTGGCTGCGACGAAGGCGATGACGAGGCCCGCAATGGCACCACCGCCTTGCCTAACACCTTCGTTCTCCTTGGAGGTCGTGGCGGGTGCTGATTCTTCCGTTTCTGTGGCGGTGGCGGGCTTGGAAGTCGTGCCATCAGAGTCGGAGGACGTGGTTGTCGAATTATCGTTCTCGTGGAACATGCCGGCCATGACAGTGGGGGCACTTGACGTCGTCGAGGAGGCGGAGGTAGCTGCGCTGGAAGCCTTGGAGCTGGAACTCTGGACAGCCTTGGAGGAAGGCGCAGCAGAAGAGGACGAGGGGGGCGTCGGGGTCGGTGTAGGCGTAGGAGTAGGAGTGGGCGTGGGAGTCGGGGTGGGAGTGGGCGATGGAGCAGCGGAAGACTTGGCGACCTTGATTTCAACCTTGGTATCCTTCTC